CTTTTTTTTTTTAAGAAAGTGTTTCAGGTTTTAACTTACACAAGCTGTGTGCAGCAGATACACACACACACACACACACACACACACATATATATATATATATATATATATTGTTAAAAATTGTTTTGGAGATAGGGAATTTATAGGCATATAAACTGAAGATGATGAGGTATGAAGCTAACATTCACCATACAGTCTTCATTCTTATCTTATGTCCACATCCCATATATATATATATATATATATATATATATATATATATATATATAAGAATCTAAGGTGAAGTATTTTTATTTTTATAAGTGGGTATTGAAAAGTTCTTGTTTTTACCTAAAATACAAAATAAAATGTTTGGTTATTTGGTCAGATTTTAAGAAGTGGTTTAAGCCATTAATTTTTCAGCACCCCTTTGTATATTGCCTACACAAGGAGAACTTTTCAATTCAAATATGTAATTAAATCTCTACATACAGACATTCATGTATTTACATAGCAAAGAATCAGACTTCAGAACCTTAGTTTCTACCCTGGGTGAGACACTCACCACTAGTACAGGTATAAAATACACAAGTACCTCAGTTACCAGGGAAATCTACCCTTATCAGTTCTACTTTTTTCTATTTTTTTAAATTTCCATCTATTTGGTTATAAGAGTTTATAAAGAAATCATTATTTCTTTTGGTCTTGATATCTGTTTGTTAAGCTACAAAGTTTGTTTCTTGCATAAAATAATTTTCTACGCCTTTTGAGAATTCCCACTTTGAATTTGATGACTTTGTTAATTATTAAGTGCTCAATAAGTGTAACTATGTGTAGTCAGAATAGATATTTACTATTCTTAGTCTGATACAGGGCCACAAAAATAGAGAACCATGTTAGGATTAAATTTACTATATTAGCAAATGGTATGCTACATTATTTTTATAATTATTACTATGGCAGGCCATATTGATGTAAATATGATTGCTTTGAATTTAATTTGCCATATGAATCTTAAATAAGTCTTTAATAATTTCATTAATGTCTTCAACTTTTGTGACAATGTTTGGCTGATATGTTTCTTAGTTTTTATTGAATATCTATCTGGTAATACTTGTGTGATTTTATATCAACAGGAAGAGAGTTGTGTGCAAGAGAAAAATTCAGGTTAGAAAGAAAAAATTATTGGCTATATGAATTTTATTTGTTTTATCCCCAAATGAGCATGACACTCTGTCACTGATATCTCTAAACTATAACCTGTGTTCTTAAATACAACAGTCAGTCAGAAAGTAATACTTGTTCTTCTTTATTTACAACAGATTTAATAGCAGAAGCATACCACCATCACATTACACAGGTCTTTGAGTAAGCAAGCAAATGCACTAAATTGCTTGCTCCACTCTGGCTCACCTGAAGGCTTTCATAGAGTTTTGTGATGGGGAATCTTTTGTTAGCTGTAGTAAGATTAGAAACCTGTTTGAACATATCCTCATTCATAGTAGCATCAGACCTGCCACTACAGGGTCTGTCCCTATGGTAAATTTCTCCTTTTCTTTTAGGATTGCCATTTACTGTGCTTGCATCACATGCAGCCTTTCTTTAAAAACTAACTAGTTTTTTATGAATGTTTGCAGCACTTCTTCCTTCTGCTGTTTACATAAAAAGTAAATAAATAAAAATTAATAACAGTGTCAAAAAAAATGATTATAATAAAATACTTCTAACAATTATAATTATTGTTAATTCACTCATTCAAAACCAATGAGCATTGACCACACTTTTCTACATACACAAATATGTGACATTCTCAGTATCAGACAAGCAGTTCACATGGACAGGTCATCAACACATGTGTTAATGAAAATTTCATCTTTTCAGGCCATAATTGTAACATTTATCTTTTAGCACTCAACAAAAATTTGAGGTAAGAAAACCCCATGCACTTCTTGTATTTTTCCAAGTAAATTATCTAGACAATCATTGCACACATCTAAAAAAACATACGAGAAAGACTGTATACATTTTACTTTTTTTTTTTATCTTATCCTTCTGTCAAATTCCAATCCATATTTGATCTATGTTTGACCCCAAACTCACAATTTTACTCATTATTACCACCTCTCATTTCTCAAACACCACATAACAATATAATAAATAATACTCATTTTGTTGTTTCCACATCTTTCTATTTCTCATTTTTGTGAGTATTTTTGTATATGTAAATGCTAAGGGGTTTATAATTATTTATTCAGAGTTATAACTCCATTACACTTCCTAAAGCAGAAATTATATGAGAGCTCTTTGCTGTCTACCTGTGTCCAGATGGGCAACCATATTGAAAGAGGATTATAGGGAGGGAATAAAAAAGTAATTCCCCAAATTTTTAATTCTGATTAATACTTTTTTTAAAATTAAATTATAATAAACAAGTGTGGACAGAGGAATCACCACTGTATAGAGACGATCATTTTAACACCTCAGGCAAACATCGAACCAGTTTTAATTTCTCAAGTAAGTTTTTTAATTGTTGTTTGTTGAATTTTTCAGATTCAATTATTTGTTTCACTTTACAAAAAAAAAATCAAGCAAAGAAAAATTGTATTTTGTTTTCAGCCAATCAAAGATGAAATCCTAATTAGCCAATCAAATAAAAAGCACATACCATGCCTGGGGAAGCTGTATGCTTGAAGCTGATTATCTGTGATCAGTTGTGTTAAGAAAAAATGTTGGGGTTGTTGGAATATAACAAAACATGAAATATTTTAAAAAGGGAGTGAGTCAAGAGAAGAATTATATGTATGTATATCTGTGCATGGGCATAAAAGTAAAAGGGAAAAATAAAGAAGAAGGGGACAGGAAAATGTAAAGTTACCAGGTGACATAGAAGGACTCTTTAATCAACCAGTAGGGTTCAACTACCTAAAATATACTAGAGAACTGTGGGAAACAAAACAAAGAAAGCAATTTTTAAATGTAAGCTGCATTGTAAAAACATTAAAATATTTTTGCTGCATTTATGTTTTCTATTTTTTTCACATTTCTTGCTCCTTTTACCAGTTTATTTTAACCTTCTACCTCATCTTTTATCTTACCTTTTTGTTTTCATTTTGAAAAGAGAAATTAAAGCCTTTATTATTTTCCCAAGTAGAAAAAAGAACATGTCTGGAAAGTTCTGGATAGAAATCTTCCGGTTCTATTGTCAATATTATTGTCTCATTATCATCCTTATTTTTTTTATATATCAATCACAACTTTTCTTGACTCTTTCATGTTGACATTTTTACTTCCTGTATTTACATTTTGTTCTGAGATTTGTTTTTCAGTTAGGGTGTGTCACAGATAAACATGTAGCAATCTTTGGTAGCAGCAAACAGGTTATTCATAAAAATGGAAAAGTAGTGATTAAAGATAGTTGTAATTTTTTTTAATGTCATACTTCTTACAGATGTAGGCAATCTAGACACACAAATTTGTTTTCCTTATCTGTGAATTGCCATGCATTCTTGGGAAAGATAGTGGAGTGGTTTCTGATTGCTATCTTCACAGTTTTGAATTTGGAGCTCTCCTCTTAAATGGGCTGCCATCCAAGGTTGGAAAGCCCTGTCTACCCTGATATTTAACCCATAGATAGAGAAAGAAGAGACATTCATACCTTTCCCAAGAGTGTTAGTAGGAAAATAAATGTAACAGACTAGTCCAAAATTTGAACTTGTAAATTCCAATTTCCTCACTGATATCCATTGCACTACCTGAACATCTTGATAGATGCAATCTTCTTTTATATTCTGTGTCCTTCAGGATGTTGGTGATCATAGCTCTCCACAATTTCCTGTCCTTTATAGCTCTTAACAAATTCTGTCTTTTTGCTAACTCGCCTAATTTTGATTTTGTCATCCATTTACACAAACTTGCTAGGTATATTATGCACTGCTTTCCTTTGTCTCTCTTACCATTTATCTGTCCTTTGAGTATCATATTTTCCAAGCTTTCTTTTCTCATTATGTGCCCACAAAATTTCAACTGTTTCTTCTTGATGTTAAGTATAAATGTTCTTTTGTTGCCATTGTCTCTAGAATTTTGTTATTGCTCACATGTTCAGTCCATTGTAGTCTCAGCATTCTTCTGTAGAACCACATTTCTGTTGTTTGAAGTCTCTTCTTCATCTGTTACAAGATTGTCAAGCATTCACTGCCATATAGGATTGATACTACATAACAGTTCAGTACTCTTTTCTTTGTTTCTAATGATACAGGTTGATAATTGTTTTATTTACTTTGAAATACCTCTGAGTAAACTATAAGACAAAATATAAAGTAATTAACAAAGCAGTCAATATGTGTTAGCAAGTGATAAAAAAAAAAAATCCTATGATAATAAAGATCAAAGAACAATTATGCTATCAATATTTATTATCTTCTCCTCAAGAAAAATACTCAGATGGTTGAATATTGAACAGAAAGATTAAAGCTATAATGTTCACTTTCAGGTAAACCTCATTTAAATATAAGTATTTCTGTTCTATAAAAAAAAATGAATAACACTTTATTTTTTTAGTTTATATCACTTTGTTTTAAAATGGCTAGGTCCTTCAGGGATGAAACCAGTTTTATTCCTGTTTTCATTCAAGCCAGAATACAACTTTGTTACCTTTTTAGCACAGTCCATATGGTCTGGGAAATTTTGCCTTTTTCCACATATATTTATGTGGAATCCCATATTAAAACAAAACCTTGTATTAGCTTTTCCCTATGGTGAGAAAAATAAATCATATCATTTAAAACAATCTTATATGTATGTTCAATTCTTTGCTTAGAACCAGGAAATCATTAAATTATGATATGCTTCATGTATAAGTTAATACAAAATTTTTAGAGTAAACAAACAAGAAATAAAGTTACCAAAACAGCATATATTTGGGGTTTGCATAGCAGAAGATCTGTCTTGGCAACAGTGTCATTGCAAAACAGTTACTGATGAATGACATGTTGATGTAATGAATAATATGAAGTTGATATGGCCTACAGCCATATCATGTTAAAACATTGGTTCTCATCTGATTACTGAAGTTAAGAAATGTTGAGCCTGGTCAGTACATAGATGGGTGATTGCTTGGGAATAACAGGTGCTGTAAGCTTGGATGTGCAAATGGTGCAATGGGTAAGTGCTCAGAATGAGAAGCTTGCATTACAGTTTGGTTCATTTCATTCACTTACATGCAAATACCTTTGAGAACACTATGAATCCAACTCTTCTCTCCCCAGCTATGGGTTAAAATATGGAGAACTTTTCTCTGAAAATCATTATTATCTCCAAGAAATTGTTACTTAAAATAAAAAAAAATATTCTTACAATCCCAAAATATGTTTTGTCTTTAAATAGCCTACAAAACATTGATAAGCTGTAAAAAAACAAATAAATCAATCAATGAAGTTGATATGAAACACAATATGAAATGTGAAAGTATTAATTATTTTCCTTAGATCTTTGACTGTTTTGAAATAATGTGATGTGATAAACCAGTTTGTGTTAAGAACTTTCATGGAAACTCTTGAAAAAACATTGTAACCTATCATAAGTTAGTGAGATTCATCTGTTGAACAAAACTAGAAAGACTTGTACATTAAGGATGCATTTCCTTATTTGAATATTTAACCTGTACAATGATATGAGCTCGAGGACTAAAAGACTTAGTAGGATGTATTATTGGCAGACACAGCTTTAAAAATATACAATTTGTAGATGACATTGTGTTGATAGCATACTCAAAAAAAGGTAGTTAAGGAAAGCAAGGAGAATGGATGATTAACTGTCAGAAGTTTTTCTAGATTTTAATTCTTCAAAAATTCTTCTTTCCTATCTTCTTCACCTGGAGCTACTTTTTTCTTCTTCATTTTTGTAATTGAAATAGAAGCTGAAAGATTTGTGATTTCAAAAAATGAAGATATTAAGAAAATACTACTACAAGGATTATGAGATAACCGGAAGATGTATAAAGTATCCAAGACATAGGAATGTATTAAGGATAAAAACTCTTTCTGGATGTTTGTAGTTTCATCAGTCATGATGCTACATGATGTAGCAAGCTTCTATGGTATAACTCGCAAGTTCACTTCTTGTCTAAAACTATGTCTTTGTTCTCAATTCATGTAATTAGAGATCAAAGAGCATAATGAGCAAAAGTTTTGTGATAAATAAAAAAGATGAAGATGCTAATAAAAAAAATGTGTGGAATTCTTAATTCAAAAATAACATAGTAGTTTCATGTCACTTTTAAAAAATTAAGCTCATGTAGTAAAAAATGGAACTGACATAAGATCTGAATGTTTACAGTTTAAGAATAATTGCTCTCTTTGTAACTTAGTTCCTTTTACTTGATTTTCAGCTCCTAGTCCTAACAAACAAATTATAACAGAAATGAAAGATAGAGTGAATTCTAGTTATGACTTGAATTGATATTCTTATTATAAGCTAACAATGAGTATGAAATTAGTTGGTGAATTTAAACCTCTCACAGAGAGATTTTTTAGCACTTGGCTTTCAAAGGAGGAAAATTCAATTTTAAAGTAGAACTATTAGCCTGGGGAAGAATTGGGGAAGAACTTCAGTTATATATATGTTAGATGTGTGAGTGACTGCAAAATGAAATGAAATAGATAATTGTAAAATTAACTAGGAATGTAAGAGGTGGAATGTGACCTTAATCTCTGAGAACTGCTACTCTAACCAGACATACTTTTAATATAACCTAGGAACATTTTACAATCAGAATTTCATTTTATTTAAAATTTTTGTTAATTCTTTCAGATTTCTATGCTGTAATATTTTTTCATTTACACATGCAGAAATATCTGACATTAAAATAAGAATAGAAAAAGTAAATTTATAGTGTGAATAATTTAAAAATAAATCAACTTTTTGCAAAAGTTGCATAGAATTCAATTATTTAAATGAATCTTTTTTGGCCTATTCATTTCTGTAATTTTTTTCTACCTGTGATATGTAAATTAAAATTTCAGAATTCGAACTTGATAAAAAAATTCAAGGATTTATTTTAAATTATAAAAAAAATCTATATTCATGTATGAAACAAAAAATTTTTACAAATTTTAAAAATGGTTATTTTTAATATGGAACAATCTATTTATTTCAAGGATCAATAAATAATACCTAACAAAAACTGTAGCAGTCCAAATGAATTTTCAGAAAAGGTATGGGAAAAGGTGTTGAAAAGTTCTTGATCCAATCAAGAAGCCTTGCCAAAATTTAAAAATGTGTGATGTTTAGTCATTTGTTCAGATTTCAGTAAGTGGTAAATGCTGAGAATGTTTAATCACCCCTTCATATAAATAAATTTTTGACATGATATAGAGCCTTCTTGGGAATGTTGTTGTAGGGTTATGGTTAGCAAGTATTTCTTGCTGATCATTACTAGTGAGTTCAATCCTCATTTGATGCTACATGCTTGTGTATTTGTACTAAAATTGCCAAGTTTAGTAAATAACTAATATCAAGTTTCCCTAGAAATCCTGAGAATACTAGCTAATGTGAAAACAAAAGAGTATAAAAAGAAAGCAGCTTAAGTGAAAATAAGGTAATAGACTGCATGTCTTTCAAGAGAGATATTTGTCTCTTTTTATTTCCATGAATAATTCTGAGTGAACATTCATCTATTCAGTTGTGTAGTCTTCCATTCACCAGTCTTAAATTATCTGACTGCAAAATGATGTTTACTAAACTCATCACACAAGCCACTGATTTCAGTCTTCATTGGTTTCATTATCATTGCAGCCTGATGCTAGATTAGGCTAAGCTTAGCAAATATCAAGGGTGCCTTCCTGTGAAGTAATGTTTACTGAGCTTTTCTCAGCTTGTGATTTCAGTTCTTGCTGGGTAACTTTGTCCTTGACTTGGCTCTTCTTAACAAATATCAAGAGTACCAATACTGCTAAACATGTTTATACCAAAAAGAAGAATTAAGTAGAATTTCAATATTTAGTTTAATTTTTGATTTATTTATTTTAGGACTTACTTTGTAATTGGAATTGTAAAAATAAATCAATCTGCAAGGCACTTTCAGAATATAGGATGACCAATGTAAAAATAATAGGAATCTATTGGAATAAGGTAGAATTCTACTTGTTTTTTATTCATTTTTCTTTTGTTTCTTAATCATTTCAGCCCAAGTGAGGCAATAAAGCCACTAGGATACAAGGGTTAATGAGTGTGAAATAAACAGAACATAAAAGGACAGGATTTGAGTAAACAGAAAATGATGATTGACATTGCATTTCAATTTTTGAAGTTCATAATTAATAGGAAAGTGAGAAGCCACATGAGGGTTCCACAAGTGAGAAGTGAAAGAGAAGAAACAATTAGCATAGAAACAATTTCAACAGCAAAGTTAGACCTAACTGCAAATCTAGTCCTATGCTCGAATTCATGAAGTTGAGTTGCCAATGAGGAAATCTCATCAGAACAATTATGGTGAAAATATAAAAGAAATAAAGGGAAGCTATGTTATGGCAGTGGAAAAGTGATTGAAGCCAAGGTGCCAGGTCAGGCCTGAAAACATTGCTGATTCTTCTTTGGATTTTGTCAAGAATCTGTAAATATATAGCAGAATCACCAGACCAGATGAGGCAACAATATTCAATACATGGATGAATAGTAAACTTATAAATGAGCAAGATATCCTTATGTTATTCTGCTAAATATGTGTATGCCAGAAAGAGATGATTTCCAAAGCTAAGCAGAATATACAATAAGAACTGATATTAACTTGAATAATAACACTCTAGAGATATATACTGTAGTTTTGTGTAAAATCTGCGATCAGAATGTAAGATCTGCTCCAGGTAGTCTTATTGTTGACTATATCTGTAAGTGGAGTCAAATCTCTGATGCTAGTGTGGCTATCTACTTAGGAGAAGAAAACTCCAACAGAAAATATTATGATCTAGGAACTTTATTACCATAATTCCAAATGCTTGGCCATATAATTAAAGCCTTAGTTTAATTAGAGAAGGTGGTCTGAGGGTTTTCTATCATTCTAATCTGCAGAGGAGTGTCAATGATATATTACCGTAATTCTTTTTGGTTGCCAAACCTTCTCCTGCAACAACTGTGAAAGAAATTGTCTTCTTTTAGGTCCTTGAAATAGATTAATAATTAATATGATAATCCTATGAACCATTGCAAGTGGGTTTGATCCTCACTCTTTTTGCTAGGCTAGATTATAATCTTTATGGATTTTAATCTAGCCTTCCAGAAATAACCCAAAGATTGACAGGCTATGAAGAAAGAAGTACCTTTCCAAATTGTAGAAGTCAGTTTTCTTTTAGTTTCAACTGATGAATTTAGAAAAAAACTTAATCTAAAATTTGTTCTTTTACTTCCAAGGAAATTAATTTTCCATTGCTTCAACTTTAAAACTCATAAGTAAAAAACAACCATATATACATCCCTTTGTCTATCTGAACATTACTGATATAAGCGACCTAGACTAAAGCCTAAAAATATTTCTTTCTCAGTTTAGTTGTGAATAATTTGTTTTAATACATTCTGTGAGAATAGACAGATTGGAAAACTATCATTCACACAAAAATTGCAGTGATTAATTTACCATATGGCTGATTGATAGGCACTGAACACGTATATACATTGATAAAGTTGGATATAAAAAGAGTGACAACTTGTTCCATAAGTTATTTGGATTAATATTTTTATTTTTGTAGCTTTTATCATTATAGAGTTTAGCCAATGTATTAATTGTTGTTCTTCTATAGGCCATGACCATTTAAGATTTTGGTGATCATGGCTCTCCACAATGTTCTGTCCTTTGTAGCTCTTAGTAAATTTTGTCTTTTTGCTATCTTTCCTATACCCTGTTCTGCCATTCACTTAGACAAGCTTGTTATAGTAGGTTATGTGCTGTTTCCCCCTGTCCCTCTTGCCTTCAATATTTCATATGAGTATCAAATTTTCCAAGACTCCTTTCTTCATTATGTGCCCTAGAAATTTCAACTATCTCTTTCTGATATGTTGGATAAGTGTCCTTTTTGATTTATCTTCTCTAAAACATCATTGTTGCTCACATGTTCAGTCCATGGTATTCTCAGCATCCTTCTGTAGA